ACTTAAAGGGCGGTGGTCGTTGCTCTGCACATGTGCATTGCGCATAGATAGACAAATGGACAGAACACAAATCAACAGTCAACAGTCATCTGAAAGTTTGACTAGCAAACTGATGTGTTTCAGTAACTTAAAGGGCGGTGGTCGTTGCTCTGTGCATGCGAGACATTTGATTTTCCCACGATCCAATGCGCTCTTCAAATGGAAATCACAAGTATGAGGTTTGACCTGGGCTCGACTTGCACTGAATACTACCAGTGATTCCTTCAATACCATCCAATCCCCTAAAAAATACCTAATTAAAGCTTGGTACTCGTTCATCTGTGTAACAGTCAAAGTCACCATCTTTGTTTATACAAGATAAATATATCTCGCACATGTATGGTGTGACAACTACTGCCCTTTATCATATGTGATGTTCATGCCAAGCTTGAAAAGAAACAGGTCCAGACATGACTGCAAAAAGTTGTGATTAGCTATACACTAGTAATTAACAAGTGCTGGTACCTGTAGCGCTTATATACCCACCACCACCACCACGACCACCACTTACCCCAGTATATATTCAACTGTAAAAAAAAATACATTTGAAAGAAACTCAGTGTGTGTTAATCTAGATGACAGTTGTATTGAAATATGCACAATACCATTACAAGTTTATTTTTTGCATTTGCCACACCCCCCCTTTCAGACCCTCAGGAAATGTTATGAATGTTTCCCGGGAATTGTGCCCATACTATATATACACCCAACTGTTTTTAATAAGCATGAGATATATGGGTCTCATATAAACAAAGATGGCGATTGTGACTGTTGCGCAGATCAACGAGTACGAACTGAGACGTAACCAAGCTTTAACTAGGTATTTTTAGGTGATTGAAAGGTATTGAAAGAGTCGCCGGCGGTAATTAGTACACGTCACGTCCAGGTCAAACCTAATATTTGTGATTTCCATTAGAAGAGCGCATTGGATGGTGGGGAAAATCAATGTTTATCAACACAAATTTCACACATGTGCAGCGTGACGACTGCCACCCTTTAAGTGTTGATTTCAGTGGGAAAAAATTAATTAATTTTAATTATTTTTAATTTTAATTAAATTTAGCCAGAAATGGGTCTTCCATATAACATAACATAACCTCCTACAAGTTGACATACATTGGAACAGAGAACATTCAGAATTCACGACTGACAATGCATAATATTTAGCTCTTAATTCCAAAAGACTGTGTACAGACTTATATTTCCAAAGTGATTAGGAAACTTCATGCATTCACCAGACAAAAAAACAAAAACAATACGCACAAACCAAGATGACGTAATTCTGCAATCTTTATTGTTGGTTACCATGGTTACACATTGAGGATAGCAAAGAAGATGGCCAATGTCACAACAAAAATCAGAACAAATTCTGGCACTTCTTTTCTACAAAAGAGTGGAGGGATACTGTGCAAAGTGGTCACCAATGTACAAAAATCACAGACACACCAACATGAGAGTAATAGCTGGATACTCATAAGTTTATATAGCAATGAAAATTCCAATTAACCTTTCCACCACCAGTTTCCTCTTTTCATCACAAATTCACAAAATAGTCTTTCAGATGATTGGGGCAAAAATTAGGGTTCATTTCTAGAAATATTGAAGAATATTAGGAAAGTCTGGTGGTGAAAAGGTTAACTGTGCTTATGGAAAATATAGTTGATTAACTAAGCTCTCCAGATAAGATTATTAGCAAAACTATCTCAATTAACAGTGCCCTCTAGTGTTATTACACGGAAATTGACAGTGCCCTCTAGTGTTATTACATGGAAATTGACAGTGCCCTCTAGTGTTATTACATGGAAATTGACAGTGCCCTCTAGTGTCATTACATATCTTTTCCCTCGGTTCGATAGTATAGAGGGAAAATACTGTCTTCAATGTTACGGTGACAGTAATTGATGAGATGGGTGGGGCAATCAGATAGGGAATAGCGGGAAGCAGTAGGAAGTTAGTCAGTCTAGTCAGCAACTCATAGACGTTCAAGTTCAATTACATCAAATATTAATTTTAAAAGTTCATTTAGTTTTGCCCTTATGTGATAACATTGCAGTCCGACACTGTCCCTGTACTATGTGCTGCATTGCTTTCGGACACAGGTTTCCAGAGAATTTCCCGCAATATAAAGAATAGGGTTTTTATCTCTGGTTTTTCCTGGGCGGCGGACGTAGGATAACAGGGAGATCACAACAAGTAACAGGCCACCCTGGTATCACATGTCATGTAATAATTTCTTTTTCTATCCACATCTGTAAATAATGCTGCCGCATCTCTGGCTCATCCATCATTATTGAATCAATGAAGTTTAATGGAATTTATTCAATGGTATAAGAGTATAGTGAAAACATGGAAATATAATCTAAATTGACAGTGCCCACTCATGTCATTACAAGGAAATCAACAGTGCCCTCTAGTGTCATTACAAGGAAATCAACAGTGCCCTCTAGTGTCATTACATAGAAATATAATCTCAATTGACAGTGTCCCTAGTGTCACTATAAGGACAACAAATTCTCAATTGACAGCGCCCTCTGGTGTTATTATATAGAAAATATAATTTGTCCTAAGAGTGTCATCAAATGACAGATATAAGTAAAATGTTCATTTTAAAAATACAATTAAAGTAGGTAAATCTTGCTTTTTAACATTTCTCTGGCAACACAGTGAAAGCATGTACAATCAATGCTGTGC